GATTTAGATTTTATTGTCACATGTACTCAACTACAGGAGTACAGTGAAAAGTGTCTAATGTCGCTATACATGGTGCCATCTTAGGTACAAAGATAACTAGGGACAAGAAACTCAGATACTAAGGAGGAAAAGAAACAAAGTTAAAACTGACCAACCCCCATCCCAACTCCCTACATACACTCACCTGTACTGGCTCCATCCCCACCTCCTTGACCTGTCCGTCTTCTCTCCACCTATCTGCTCCCTTATCCACCTTCCATCATTGCCTCTCCCTCTCTTTATTTATTTCAGAGTCCCCTTCCCCGCCCCCATTTCTGAAGAAGGGTCCAGACCTGAAACGTCAGCTTTCCTGCTCCTCTGATGCTCCCTGGCCTGCTGTGTTCATCCAGCTCTACACCTTGTTGTCTCAGACTCCAGCATCGGCAGTTCTTACTATCTCAAAGTTAAAATGTTGTGCATTTCAGTCCTTCATAGAATAAGTAGAAAAATAAGGCAATAGTTAACAAAGTTCTTCCTAATATAAACTAGAAAAATAAAGGAATAAAGTTAAAAGTTTTTGACGAGTCCTCTCTAGTTATTTTGTTCTCTGGGAGATCTCTGTTGCCTGTTTTCAACATCACTGCAGATACCAAGGGACCTTCTTCAATGCTCACTCTTCCTGCGTCAGACCGCGATGCCATCGCTATTGCTGCTGAATCCTGATCTCCTCCTGCTGCCTCTGGAACATGACCAGGCAGGGCCTACTCGCAGCCCCCGATCACTGGGTACGCACTGGGCCCCACTCTTACCAATGGCCGCCTCGGACTTCGCATTGAGAGACTGCCTCGGGACACAAAGACACCATCCTGGATCACCGAAAGTCTCCCACTCAGCACTGAGAGACCGCTGTGGGACACAAAGACACCATCCTGGGTCACCAAAAGACTCCCGTGTCAGGCTGAGAGGCCACCATGAAGTGCCAGGAGGGTGCCTCATAGGGTCCATGCTGCGGCTAGGAGTAGAAAGAAGAAAAGAAACACAAAGGGAGAGAAAAAAGAAGAGAAAAAAGGAAGACAACATTCAGAGTGGATGAGCTCTGGCTGAAGCGCTTACTCTGCTACCATCTTGAATCCATTTTTTTGTTGTCCAGATCCCTATCACTTTATCGCCTTCAAAAAGTTACCCGTTTTTCTTTTGAAAGCTGCTAGTCAATCAGCATCCACCACCCTTTCAGGGATTGTGAAGTGTTTTGAAAAAGAAGCAAATGTGTTATGTGAGAAAGCCCTTTCACACGCGAACAGTCAGAGTCTAAAATACACTGTCTGGAAGTGTAATGGAGGCAGGTTCAATTGAGGCGTTCAACTGGGCAGTTGATGGTTATTTAAATAAAACCAATGTGCAGTGTTATGGGTCAAAGGCAAGGAATTGACAGTAAGTTAAATTGCCCAGAGAGCCTATACAGACATGATAAGCCAAATGGTCCCTTTTTGTACTGAAACAATTCTGTGATCCTGTGATGGTACATTCCAAATCTGAATCATCTATTACATGAAAGATTGTTCCTCACACTGTGAAATAACTGCATAGAGGCTGGTTTCCCATCACCAAGTCACCCGTTATTTACATGTGAATCCATAGAATCCCTACAGTGTGGAAACAGGCCATTCAGCCCAACAAGCTCACACCAATCCTCCAAAGAGCATCCCAACCAGACCCATCCCTCTACTGCTAATGTGCACAGTAGATTAGCTCTGACCAGCCAGCTCAAAGCCAGTCCCTATACTGAGGAGACCTTATGAATTTCCTGTTGATATCTACCAGCCAGGGCTCCCTGATTGGCCCAGGTTAACAATCCCAATCAAGATTGCATAGACAATGAGATCCACCTGGCTCTGTTTCCAATTGCTAGACACTGTTTCTAGTCCTTTTGCAAAATACCCTATATCTGTGTTCTCTTCTCAGAGAACCTGTCACCATTAGAAATGGTTCTTTGCTTTATTCATCCTGTCTAAACTCCCTGTAATTTTAACCACCTCTATCAAATCTCTTCTTAGTGTCTCTGCTCTAAGGAGAATAAAGCCAACAGCTTCTGCCTAAACAGAATTGTGGGGGCACCATTGCAACATGGAATGTTGTTAGGAAGTGACATATTGCTGCCTTCAGAAGGGCAACTATTGATGGGCTAAAATTGCTGGCTTAGCCAGAAATGTCTGAGTCTGAAAAACGAATAAGTTGCCATGAGAAATGCAGCTTACATCTGTTTTACTTTGTAACCAGCAGCAATGCTTTTCTTTTAACATGCACTGCCCTTGAATAATATTGAAGATGAAAGACCCCCTGTCATTGCACAGTACCATTGATAAAGTTCAGAATGGGGGCCCTGTGGCGTAAAGTATATGTCACGTTAAAATGTGCTTAATTTAATGCAGTTTCTTCAGGTGTTCAAGACCAAGTCAAAACAAACCTCTTCACTCTGAAAAATCCAAATCTGAAGGTAAGAAGCAGAAAGGACGGTATGGGAATGAACCAAGGGTTCATGGAAGGTGGAGGCTTCAAGTTTAACAGCCACTCTGACAATTAAATTAAACTACTGTGTTAACTTGGTTCAACTGGTAAAAATCTCACTTGCCTGTGAGGATGCTGGGCTTCAAGCACCATATGCACATATGGCTGGATTGAGAGATAGTAGGAACTGCCGATGCTG